TCTTTTTTCTTTTTATCTGCTTCTTAAGTGGGCTAAAGGCTGAAAGGATAGTCCAGGTCAGCGAAGCCCCTTTGGCAGCAGCAGTAAGCCCTGTAGTTCAAACTGAGGCAAAGTACTGGACTCTCCAGTTACTGACACCTTTGCATCTAACCTTCAATGCAAAGAATTCAGAATAACATTATAGTGTCTCTCTCTTTTTTTAAGAAAACACTACGAGATAGCTTGGAGTAAAAGATTGTGATTTGGTTACAATCCTGCAGGGAGCTTCTTATACCTGGGGATGCTTCCAACCTGTTTATTGAGCATTCATCCTCATTTGTTTGAAGAAAGATTAAACAACATTAATGAACATTCATCCTGGTTTGTCTGTGCAGAAGTTAGATGAGCAAGTCTCATCTCCCAGTTTTCAGTGCATTTTCCCATCCTTTTTTTAATCACAAAAAGTCTGATTTGGAAAAATGGGTTCATTGCACAAGAGCTCCCAATTAACCTAAATTTGCCCAAACCTGATTGAATCCCACCTGGAAATAACGGCAGTCTGGAAGCACCCTATCTGAACCTGAGATTTCCATGCCCAAACCTGACCCTGCAGCCACCATATGGAGAGAAGAAGACTAGGCTGGGGTCTGTGCCCAGGGATCTATATGCTCATCCATCAAGCACTTAGCTGGAACCCCATACCACCTTTGATTGGGTTACATAAAAGGCGTCTTTTATATTGCAAGTTGGTGGTTTCTATCTTCAGAGCATGTTCCACATCGGCTTGTCTGCTGAGGAACACATGGGCATCTGCCACAGAAACCCTGCGCATTGTAGACTACATTCAAGGGCAGCACTTTTCAAGCTGTGCTTCACGGAAGCCCCAAGGTCTGTAGGAAGACATAATGGGTTCCTCAGTAAGACAGACCATAATGGAAGGCAAGATTACATGAAAGACAGACATCCTTTGCTGCAATCTAGAGTTCTAGTGGGTTGTGGGTATATTTCTGAGGTATGTTCTCAGTTGCTGCAGGGTAACATGAATTGAGGGTTCACCTCACATTGTGCCTCAAAATCATCTGCAACTTGCAAGGTTTCCATGGCAAATGCTTGCAAGCTCCTCAGAAGAGAAATCAGTGTGCAATGCATGACCATTTCTGAAATGCATATACTCAATTCACAGTGGCACAATCAGCATGTATGTGTTGAGAGTGCACTCAAGAAAACTCCACAAAGGCTCCCTTGCAATGGGAGATATGTATGTGGTTTGGGGGGAGGATTTCCAGGGTTTGAAAAGCAGCACTCTGGGTAAGCTGGCAACTTTAGTTAGTTTAGAGTTGGCCAGAATGCAAAACCCTGAGTAGATTCTGACTGGGGACAAAACAAGGAACAAACATGTTTCCTCATCCCTATGTGAAGGATGCCAGGGGATTTAGCACTTTGGAAAGAAGCCCAAGTCTGCTTGATCCAGTACTGTTCCCCAAAGGATCCCAGGGTAATTCTAATTTGATTATTACAAAACATTTCTTTTCAATAAAATTGTTTCTAGTCACAATTATTTTTCCTATTCCATCAATATTTACCTAACAATGTGATCTCAAAACCACCCAAAATAAGTGTCCTCATTTATCTGACTGTTTTGTGTAGTAAATTCTATAGATGAGCAAGCAATACTTTTAGCACATATGGAACAATTGCCATGATTGAGCCTTATTTTTTAATGACATTTATGATTTCAGGTTTGTTCGGCTCAGTATCATGACATCGGAGGACTTTGGTACCCTTAGACTTAAGGAAACAGGAAGCCTCTGAGAAAATGTTCAGCCCATAATTTGTCTCAAGTCCTTTCACACAGATCCACTTCAGCTTCCCTTGCCCCACACTGCACTTTCATTTTAGTTAACAGGGTGGAGAGAAATTTTGTTGCTGCTAATCAATTTTTGAAAATCTCCCACTGTAGTGAAGTTGGGAAATCTTAGTACTGTATGTTAAAACATTGGTTCACACAAGAGTGAGGCATTGTGGGAGAGCTGAAACTGTGGAATTCTGGGGAATGGGCATCTGGTCTCTTTAATTGTAAAAAAAAATTGTCTTTAGAAGTGTAAATCAAATTGCCTCCTGACTCTAAGCAGGATGGGATGTTATCTGATTTACAGATCCTGGCAGCTGGGGGCCTGAATGTGGACTGGGTGTGAAAAGGCTATCAGGAGCCTGGTATATGTCAGAATAGTCTGAGAATGGAAAGAGGGCTCTTTTGATCTCAAGGTCTCTGAGAATAAACAAAGTTCAGCTGTGTGGATCTTCTGACAATCAGGAGTTATTGTGTCATCATACAGCCACTGGCAAATTGGTAATTAACCCAAAGAAATGATTGGTTCCTAAACCTGTATTCCACACGGGGTTTCTCAAGGATAAAGGCTTGGGTAATTCAGACGCAAATGGCAGACTATCTTGCCGTGGGGTTCGCCTGAGGGCATTTGACCAGAAGACCGGACTTTGTGACTTCTTGCTATGCTTTGAACTACTGATACTGAGTATGTTTTAGTTAGTGATACTGTGCAACGTTTTTATTTTCTTGTTTGTAACCTTTTAAGAAATGTGCAAGCTTTTACTCTCTGAGTAGCTTTTTCAATAAATTTGGAAAAGGACTTTTGCCGGAGAAGCTAAACCGGTGCCTGACCACTTGGTACATCTACCTGTTGGATTTCTGTCTGCATCACGGTACAGTGACACAGGTCTGGGGGTTCTCCTCCTTGGACCCCATTTGAGGGTTGTCCCAGGAAAGGAGGTGGTGGCAGCTTACCGTTTGGTTTGTGACTTGTGTAACTATCCCTCTCCCTGCCAGGTCCTGCCACTGTCTGGAAGACTGGTTGGGGGTGTGTGGACGGCCCGTGCGATTACTACACCCACTCTTTTTCATCTGCCCAGCTCTCCTTTAAACTAAACTCAGATTATTTTCACATTGCACATTAGCAACTATGGCTGAGAAACTGAGTCCATGGCTGAAATGAAAATCCAGTTTTCAGGCCCTGAGCCACCTTTCACACAAACATACATTTGGAGACCCATTTCTTTTTATTTTCACCATATAATTGTATGGCAGGATTGCTGCTCTTGCAGCCCACTTGAGATCAGGCCATGACCTGGTCATGGCTGCCCAGCCACCAGCGGAAGGCCGGGGCTCCCACCAGATGGGGTACAATCAAGTTTGGGGTCAGGCTCTCAGATGGAGACCTTTGGTTCTACAGAGGCTCAAGCCATCCTTGCACGAACAGTCTAAACATGTATCAATTATGATCAATTGAATCAACATCCTGCCAGACTGATACCTCCCCAGGTGATTTGTTTTCAGCAAAATTTTTATTGCGGCTAGGATATACGTCTTCTATCAAAAGGGCACAACACAAAATTGAAGCAAGACAGAAGTCATGGTATAGACTGGATATTCTGTTAATGTCTCATTGATGTTTTCACTGTGGTGTCCAGGACTGACCAGTCTCACCTTCAGGATTCAACAGCACATAGGGCTATTAGATTGCACATGCAGAACCCATGGCTCTGCCACGGCTGTGTCTAGCTTAGTCCTGACCATTCTGACTCACAGTGGCTCTCTAGGTCCTGGGCAGGTGTCACTCTGAGCCCAGCTGCCTGAGTTTCATTTCGCTGGAGATGTCTACACCTGGCACCTTCTGCATGTAGTGCATGTGCTTTGCCCATGGAACTTCCCTGAGAAACTCTTCTTCTCTTCCCTGTCCTTTTTCCATGCTGTCCCTGAAGTGCTAATATCCGAATGGTAGAGACAGAGTGTTCCTTCCAATTCTGCAGGAACACCGAGGCCATAATCCATAAAGCTACATTATATATCCATGTAACCCAGTTTTATATTTTATTTATTCCAAGACTCATCATCAGGATACTTTTGTATTCAGCAGGCATCATTTGATATGCCAAAATATTCAGTACTATACAGCTGCAGCTCAAAGTAGAAACCCAGGACTCATTTATAGGAGCCAACAATGCAGCTGCAAACTTACTTTCAGCTACCATAAAAATGGAGGACAGTCCTTTCTCGTAACTTGTTAACCAATTAGGTTTAACTAAACTTCTTGTTTTGTTTCTCCGGCACAACTTGTGTTGCCCCAGAGACCCATGCAAGTGCTGACACATGCAAGCATTCTTCAGTAACATTTTATCTTGCAGCCTGACATTAAAGCTGTTTTGCTGTGGCAGTTTCCATGTTGACAACACTGACGCCCCTGTTCCATTCTCTCTGAAAAATAGGTCACCCCTTTCTTTACTGCAGTGAGTGGAGTGAGGAGAACAAAAGCAAAGTTCCATATATTAGGGAAAGGTAGGTACCTGGAGAACTCCGCTCAGAAGGTGCCCATCTTAGACCCTGATGTAAAGGACCCCTATCCGCACTCTCACACTATTTTGTACTTTGCTCTCCGAACCTCTCTGCCACAATATAAAAATAGCAAGAGTGGACTTGGCAAAGCCCTCCCTGTCAGCTGCTTAGACCACGCAGCAAACCAGCCCAAGGCAGAGAGAAAGGGGAGTGAGCGAGTGAGTGACTGTGGTATTGGCATGTGTGGGACTAAGTCCATAGTGCTGGCCCTCCAGGCCTTGCTCAGTTGAAAAGGGCAGCCCCTGTGAGAATTTAGTTAGCAACCAGGGTATTGCACTGGTTGCAGAGCTGCAGGCATCTTTCCTCCTGCCATGCCAGTGTCTGCAGCCTAGTTGGGGGGGGGGGGATGTGGTCCAGCTTTCAGAGTTTAACCAAATAAAGTCAGGGAGCAAAGCCACAACCAGACACGTCTGCAAGGCCTCAGTGTGAACCCTGAACAAGTCAACAGTCCATCAATGGGGCTCATAGGATTGCAGAGTCCCAAAAGCCAACTGGAATCTCACCCCACTTTTACAATTTCTCACCTGTCTTTTTATATTGTTTCAATAAAATAATGATGGTCTTTTTCCTTTTTTGCAGAAAGACTGGAGAGATAATTAAAAAGTGATTAAGCTACTTTTAAAACAACTTGTTTAATGCTTTCCAGATTATTCACAGCAACAAAATTATTATTTCAATGCACTTTACTTTTAGAAAAACAACAACACTGGGGCATAACAAAAATCAGTAAGCATAAACTTTAACTTTATGAACTTCTTTGTCTTCACATTCTCTTTCTTTGTTGTAATAGTAGAATGTATTGTCCCTTCTCTGAAGCTTCTTCACGAATCCAGTTTCAGGCCACCTTTCCACCTGTGTGCAGAAGGACAAGGGTGTGGGATGCACATGTCTTTCAAACAGCCGGCAGAATGCAAAAAGGTATCCATCAGCAACGACATATAAGTGCAGGGCATGCAGTGTTAGGAGAGGGGCAGTTGCTCAGGTGGGGAACACATCATGCTCCATCTGGGGCCACTCAAAGCTGCTTCCTGGGGTGTGGCCAATGTCGCAGGGACAAACGGCGCCAGAAGGAGCACAACCCCTCCCCCAACACCCTATACATCCATGTAAATGGTGATTCTTTAGGTAATATGGGACCAGTCAATGAAGGGCTGGGGCCCTGGGGGTCAGTATAATTAACTGATTAATTAAGCTGTGGTCCCCAGTTCGTATGTAATGACAAGTAACAGCTTGTGAAAACTAACAGTAAATACTGAAATCCTTCTTATTTGTGCAGGAGGAAGAGAGGAGTTGGGGAGCGTAAGAGTCAGAAGCTTGGCTTACGGAGAGAACACCAAACCATGGTGCAGCATGATGGGCAAATTGGCTGGGTGCAGGTCCTTGTTGTGTTTCATTAATACATTCTGCATATTTGATAAACTATTCATCACAGATTACAATCTATATATCTTAAGTTGATGCTTCCCAATTCTGTACCTCTATAACAATCTCTGTACTTGTGTTTCCTCCACAAAATGAAGCTACTAGACATGTTTCCCTCCCTGTGAGAGACCTTAAATATGTCATGGATTCTCAGAAAGAATAAAGTGATACAGAAAACCAAAGTGAACAAAAACAAATCTTCAATTCCACAATATTTTACAGTTTTATCCAGTCTTGTGACCATCATCCAGTTGCAGGTCATTCATCTCAATTAGTAAAGGATACTTTCAAATGTTTTCAATGGTAAATTTAGGGTGCCCAGTTCCTCTTTGAATAATTGAGCTAAAATCTGCTTTAAACAAAATGGGAGAAACTCTGTGTTCTCTGGCACATATGATTCTCCTAGGGCAGTGTTTCCCAACCACTGTTCCGCGGCACACTAGTGTGCCGCGAGATGTTGCCTGGTGTGCCGCGGGAAAAATTAAAAAATTGAAAGATTATTTTTTTTTAAGTCAAATTTTCGATTGGGGCGCCGTCACTAGATGACCCCTGGGGTTCCCTCCCTCCCTCCCGCTCTGCGCCTCCCTCCTCCTCCTCCTCCTCCTCCGGGGAGGCCCTTCCTGGCTCTCGGCCAAGGCTTGGCGGCTGCCACTCACTCACTCGCTCGCCCACCCGTCCCTCCATCCCTGCACCCGGCCTCTCCCCCTCCGTCCCCAGCGCGGGGGCTGCCGGGATCCGTAGTCCCCTCGCCCTTGGGCTCCGCGCCCGCGCGGGGTGCGTGAACTACGTTTCCCAGCGTGGCCTGGCGGGCTGGGCGTTTTGTTTGAAGCGCTCTTCTCCCGGCCATGGAATGAGCGCAGCGGTGGCGGCCGGGCGGGCAGGGGCTCTTCCGCGCAGACCCCGCGCAGCCTGCCTGCGCCCCCCGGAGATCGGGCGGCAGGATGGAGCCCGGGGATCCCCGCGGAGGCGGAGTGGCGGAGGCGGAGGCTGCCCCCCAGGTAGGGCTGCGTCGGGTTTTTTTATTTTTGCAATGCTGCATCCGCGCCGGAGGGGACGCATCGGACCGCGGGGAGACCCCTTGGCGTGCGTGCAAGGCAATGCATGCGTGCAGGCGTTGCATGGAGTGCAGTGCAATGCAATGGCAACGCGGCGCCCTGCATGCATGCATGCAACTTCCACCGGCGCTCCGGACTTGGCAGGTGAGGGGGGTCCCCAGTGGGCGGCAGAGAGAGCCGGGAGGGCGAAGGGGAGCCAGGGGGGAGCAGCGCTGCTCCCTGAGCCGAGCCCGGGGGGAAACTTCGGCGTCGTTGCGCCGGGTGTTGGAAGCGGAGGCTGGCGGGGGCCCCTCACCTGCAAAACCTGGTCGCCTCTCATATATTTCGTGCATTGCATTCATCGCCCGCTTTCTCCTCCAAGGAGCTCCCGGGGGCGCGCGTGGTTCTCCCCGTGTTATCCTCGCAACAACAGCCCTGCGAGGTGGGTCAGGTGAGTGGCCCAAGGGAGCACCCAGGGATTGTCCTGGCCAGGTGGGGTGATTTGAACCCTGCTCTCTGCCCGGTCTTCGTCCTCATTTAGCCCCCACATGTGCATGACTGTGCATGACTGAGGTTTTCCCCCCTCGTCTTGGCTATGGTGTGAGTCTGTGCTGTTAATTAATGGGGTTCTGCCTTCGGAGAAGATGAGCCAGCCCTCAAGGAGGTGATTATGTAATTTGCTAGCAATTCATGTCCCTCCCGGCGTGACGCTGCGCGCTGACGTCACGGGGCTGTAATGGTGGTGTGCCTCGAGATTTTTTTCATGAAACAAGTGTGCCTTTGCCCAAAAAAGGTTGGGAAACACTGTCCTAGGGTGACAACTTTTATGAAATCCAAAACACAGAAAGCCATACGTTCCATGATGGTTCTCAAAAAACCTAGGGGTTTTGAAGGGTCAGAAGCTGGAAGGCCAAAAGGTCCAGCTCCATTCAATCTCATTATTGTCAGCATTGGGTGACTACAAAGGACTCTGTAATGCTCACCTGGAAAAAAAACAATCTTATCAGGGATTAATTCTTCAAAATGAAATGCTGGAGGGTGCGAGCATAGCCTGTTTGGGGCATCATGTCCCCCTGGGGAGGAAACATTTTCACTGCTCAACCTTACTGAGTAGGGTGAACAGCACCAGAGCACCCTAATAACTGCCTCTTTACAGTCCAAGCTAGTTTCATTGTCGCTGGAGTGGGCATGACCATAACAGCTCCTCAGGCAGGAAGGTGTGCAGGCAATCCTTTAGCAGGCAAATGCCAGATGTATGGTATGTAGCTGGAGCGTACATGAAATGCAGCTGTAATACCAGAATTCTCCTCCTCCCCCTGTTAAGTGTGTGATTCCTGTTGATTAGTCAAGGATACCAGAACCTCCACATACTGTGAAACTAAGTATCAGCCATTCAGTTGTTTAAAAGGCAGAGACAATCCATTTCTCATGGCTGAATGACATGAAGAGCCACTTCTGAGCTGTACTCATGGCCAGGATCCAAAGAGCTACTTTAAGCACTCCCAAGGAGCTGGGAATGCTTGGTGGGATATTTGGCTTTCCAGTTTATATATCAAACCCTCCAAATGCTTCAGAACGTCCCTTCAGATTCAATAATGGCATGCTATGTGTAAGGAGGGGAGCTGACGCTCACAAAATGCTGGTACAAAGTGTTCTTGAGCATGTGAAATTATTTATGCAATTCCCTGAATCCCAGCCAATGATTTCATGTATCATACATTTCTTCTGCACCCTGAGAGACTCAAAAAGCAATCTGGGTGGCGAAGTGGAAACCTGCATACAACACCCAGTGGCCCTACCAAATAGTAAAAAGTCAGGGAAACAGGTTCGTGTGTTCCACCACCACATGCACACAAAATCATGACAGTCAGAATTCCTGCACCTGGGGTAGGATCCAACTGAGTCCTACTCACGAGTTCTTGGTATCCATCTGTCTCAAGAGACAATGGAGTGCACGTCTGGGGGTGAAGTCAAACTGTTGTGCCAGCAGCACTGAAATGACTTCCCTGAAGCACAAGCCTGGGCAGTGTGTCTGGAGGTCCTGGGCTGCCCAGACAACAAGACCCTCCTCTCAGCCTCTCTTATGGGGTACAGAGGAAAGCAAAGCAAGACGTTTGGCACCAGTTTGGCTGCAGGAGTTGATGGAAGGAGGCATACAGGGTACCATCCAACCATCTTATGGAGTCCAGAATTCTGCAGGGTGTACTTCTTAGCCTATTCTTCTGCCAAAGGTATCAGGCGGGTTGGAGACCCACCAGCTTCCTCCTGGTTTAGCCAGTCAGTTGAAGCCGTTTCCCAGGGTGTGGCCACTGTCACATCCTGACAGCTTCTAGGAGCCACAGGTAAGAGTTGAGGGCGGTGTGGGGACCAAAGGTGGACAAACTACCCCAGAAGGAGCATGACATGTCCCCCATCAGAGGTACTACCCCTCCCCAACACCCCATACACCATACTTAGAGCAGACCTGCTGAAATCAGTGGACAAGTCATGTCCACTGATGACAGTGGGTCTGCTCTGAATCGGAGTATTGAACATTGAATTGAGAACTGAGTATTGAATATTGAACTCAATCACACTTATTTCTGAGTAAGCATAGGATTGCTGTTACTCCACCTCATTTCTGATGTGAATTTTGTGAATGGGAAGAAATCATGGTTGGTATACATGGACAATGAACTCTTGATCCCTTTGGATCAAGGTAATGTACACTGATTGCTTGACCTGCAAATATGTCTTGAGATGGAGGTGTAATTTGAGTAACCGTTACTGATTCACAAAAACACCAATAGCTTTTATAAGCCAGTAAAGGTAAAGGTAAAGGTAAAGGTAAAGGTACCCCTGCCCGTACAGGCCAGTCGTGACCGACTCTGGGGTTGCGTGGCCATCTCGCTTAAGAGGCCGGGGGCCAGCGCTGTCCGAAGACACTTCCGGATCACGTGGCCAGCGTGACGAAGCTGCTCTGGCGAGCCAGCACCAGCGCAGCACACGGAAACACCGTTTACCTTCCCGCTAGTAAGCGGTCCCTATTTATCTACTTGCACTTAAGGGTGCTTTTGAACTGCTAGGTGGGCAGGAGCTGGGACCGAACGACGGGAGCTCACCCCGCCGCGGGGATTCGAACCGCCGACCATACGATCGGCAAGTCCTAGGCACTGAGGTTTTACCCACAGCACCACCCGCGTCCCTGCTTATAAGCCAGTGAAGCTTCCCAAATTGGTTCCTATGGGACAGGACATTTGAAGTAGACTCCAAGTGAAAGGTTACCGGTTCCCTAACACAGCCTAAAAGCTTTCTTGTTCTTCTTGTTCTTCATTTTCTGAGGGTGTACACAGGGGCAAATCAGTTCAGGCAGAGAACATAAATATAAAAAAATGAATTATGGTCATAGAAAACATTTATATACAATATTTTAAAAGGACAGAATGTTTGCCACTAAAGTACAAAATGCTTGCATAATTATGAAGTCTTACCATGTCTACATGCTTCACTTGTTTATATTCAATTTCATCCCTATATCCAGCTTGCTGAAATCTGTAGAGATTCTCAACTTCACCTGACCATATCTTGGCACGATGTATGGATTTAGGTTTGGTGTCAATACCGGCTGTGGCTCCAGAGACATCACCAGTTAATTTGCTGAAAGTAATTTTTAAAGAGTTTCAATTGTATGGAGAACGCTTGAGAGTTAGAAGTGAATTTCAACTGAATGTGAATATAAAAAGACATGAGCACTGTCAACTAATTATAGTTTGTTAAAACACAAGTAAACAATATCCCATTCTAAACTGTGTTAAGTACAAGAATCTATCAACTACATGAAGCTATATGTAAAATGCAGGACAAATGAGTGGGGACACATGACATTTACAGGGTATATTCTGCCTCTCCACAATCCTGCATTTGGCAAAAGGCAGCCAAGTCTTTGTTGCTGAAATATGATGTCATGGACTGTGGCTTTGGATCCCAATTTCCTCTCCTCTAGGATCTTTCTGGCAGCAAACAATAGCTGACATCTTTGTAGTATAATTTCACAGGCTGCAATTTTCTCTTCCATTGAGATCTCTTTAGAAGTGAAGTGGGAATTTCTCTTTGCTTTAAAAAAGGATCTTTGGAAAGGAGAATTGGGCTCTCAGGACATGTGTCCATAGGGTACAATTCCCCTTCCCCTTGTGTTTTCTTCTGTACCCAAGCAGACAAGGGCCAACATTGGTGCACCTCCTTCTGCTGGCAGAGAGTCATCCTAGCACACAGAGTCCCTTCTCTGGACCTCCACTCGCCTTATTTCGCAGCATCATACAGACTCTGACTGGCAACAGAAGTCATCAAACAGAAGCAATGAAGCTAATATCTGGTCATTTTACTGGGCAGCTATATAGGTTATTCCATTCAAAGGGCAGGCAGCTAATCAACCTAGCTATTAAAATTTTTGTCTCTCAAATCATAGCCCAAATGAGCTATGGAGCTGAGATATGGGGAACTGGTGTTAAATCTGAAATAGAGGTCCTACAAAATAAATTTATGAGGCAGATTTTAGGGTTTCCCTGGAGGACACCAGCAGCCCACCTTAGAGCTGAGTTGTGCCTCCCCTTGCTAGCAGCCAGAATGGATCTAGCCTACCTGAGATACTGGTGCATGCTAAATGCCTTTGAGTATCATACTCTTACTAAGCTCTGCTGGTGAGAGCAACTAAGGACAGGGGGCTGGGCAGAAAAGTGCCAATATAAGCTTAGGGCTTATAATCTTCAAATGGAGAACTAATTAGCCCTTAGCCCACGTGACCTTAGAAATTGGATTATTGATCAGGATGCCAACCAAGACAGAGTATCCATCCATTACTCTACTTGGTACCCCCAAATTAAGACCAATCACTCATGGCCCCGTTTCCTTGAGGCTAACCTTTTCCACAACTTTGCAGGCCCTTTGCAGAACTAAGATTCCAACAGATGCCCTCAGCATATTTAGAGGGGAGATATCAGGGAATTCTCCATATGGATTGCAAATGTACATATAGATGTCATCAGGTAGAGGACATCACACACTATCTGCTGATTTTCCCCCTGTATACAACGCCCAGAGGGAAATTTATATTCTTAATTGGCTTCCAGGTCGATCTGCACAGGAAGCAACAGTAGAACTCCAAGCAGATAAACATCTATATATTACACACTAGGTAGCCAAATTTGCACCGGCAGCCAAGATGCTCCGTTCCAGCTACGTGAATGCACTCCATTTTTAAATATAATGTTGTACATTTCTTTTTTGTTGTAAACTGCTACAGGTTATGTTGTATGATTTTAGATGAATGTTTTTCTTTTATTCTCTGTTATACATTATAAAGGCCTTTGGCTATGTACAATAAAATGGACTTTGGCAACAAAAATACTGCATTCCAAACAACACAAAGTTTTAGTGCCACTATTTGTCCCAACTCTGCAAGTTGTGAAGGATTAACTTTCTCTTAGTTCTGTTCATATGTGGGCCTATATTATCTGTCAGTGAAGAATGAAACCAAACTTGACTAGCATGTTAACATGAAGACTCTGTATTATGACCACTTACGAGTCTCCAAGGCTATCTGATTCTCTCCTGAACGATGTCCCAGGCACATCTGACACAGGTGCTTCTTCAGAGGAGAAAGCTGAACATGGTACATCCTTACCATCCATGAAGGCTACTGGGTTTTCCATAATAGCTCCTGCAAAAAAAAGGTGCCAAGTGTGTAGAGCACTTTCACCTACTGCTGCCTGCATGTACCTCTTGAGTGACTTAATGAAACTTTGAATACAAAGAAATCCAATTTTTAACTGAATTAAAAACCAGGAAGGGTCTAATATGTGCTTTTGGAATCACTTGGGAATAGACATCCTTTATTTACTTGTGTAGCAGGAAACAGCCCCCAATCATTCAGTTTGTACAAACTTCACACACACTCACACTCACATACTACATACGCTACGCTTCTGTTATAAATTCATAGAAAATCAACCATATATTTGCACTGTTCCACTTTTATTTGACTCCATGAAGGAAGGACTACAAAATGGGGAAGGTTTGATACAGGGCAGCCATAATTCCTTGAGCATACCAGCACATCCACAGGAGCCCTGCCCAGTTGCTATGCCAACCCTGGTGGTCCTAGACAGAAGACCATCCAGGTCACAAAGAACTTGCATATGGGAGTGGATTCAGCACAGACTGGAACAAAGGACAATAATCAGCTCTTCCCTCTGGGGGCAGGAAACTGCAAAGTCCCCTCTGTCACCTGGAAAGTACTCATGGGGAGGGGGAAAGGGGGAACCAGCCAGGTGACAGGACACTCAGGTTACCACCACCACCCCTCCCTCAACCCCTCCTTTCTGTGATGTATGCATGATGTTTCTGGGGGTGGGCTTGATCTATAGGAGGGGAATTTCAAAAGTCTTTATAAGACCTTGCAGGCCATTGTTCTGGGTCTTTCCTCTCTCCGGCAAGTGAGGGGAGCACCCTGTTGCAACAGTTCAATAAAGGCCAAGCCTACAGGCTGCTGTTTTGCTCCAAGTTATCCTGGTTGGTGTCTTTGTTTTTGTCCAAGGGAGCCCTCGGATTTTTCCGTTAACACTTGTGAATTGCTCTCTCTCTCTCTCCCCCCCCATATTTTTCCATGTATAAGACTATACTTCCCCCCAAATTTTTTTAGTTTAAAATTGGGGGTCGGCTGATACACGGAATGTTTAAAATATGTATTTATTACTTTGGGGCTAAAAAAATACGGCTCGTCTTACACATGGGGGGATCTTATAGACGGAAAAATACAGTATATATTGAAATGGCTCAAGTGCCATAACTTGGGGGGGGGCGGGAGTGAGGAGTTTTTGTTTATTAAAGTCTCGCCCCCGCCCTTCCTTCTCCCAGGGGCCATTTAAAGCTTAAAAGCGTAAACAAATCCCCAACAGCCGTAAAAGAAACAACCTTTTTCGCTTCTTCTTTTTTTATAAAGTTAACCCCCTGAGGGAATCGTGAGGCGGGGCTGTCGGTCGAGATATCGCGATATTTGAGCCCTGAAAGGGGCGGAGCTCCGCCTAGGGGGCGGGACCAAGAACCTGGAGGTGGGCGGGGCTAACTGGGCACCCAATCAGCAACGCTTCTTTCTGGGGCAGGGGAGGTCCCCTTTTCCCGCTCCCCCGCCCCGCCCCGCCGTGATTCCCTCCGGGCCCCCCCGCCTCTCCCGCACTTCCAGCCAGGCCCCGCCCGCCCCGCGGAGCCCCGACTCACCCCGGACGGGAGCGTCTCCGCGCGCGCCGCTTTCCCCTCCCCCACTCAGCGGTTGTGAGGTTGCTTAGCAACCTTCGGCGGGAGTTCGGCCAATAGGACTGCGTCTCGAGCCGCTGAGCGAAAGCGGCCAATCAGGAGGCGCACCTGGGAGGGCGCTGTTCCTAAGCAGCCAATCGGTGCAATGTTTACCCTTCACACGCTTTGGGGGTTTACCTCAGCTCCGGCGTCTGCCGAGGCGTGGGCGGGGCCTGGTCCTTTTCTGGCCAATGGGGGCGGCGGCGCGGAAAGGAGCCTGGCGGAAGTGGCCTCGGCGGAAGAGCCGGAAGGGAGTTCGGCGGACCTTTCCGGCCGCCCCGCAGCCCCGCCGCCTGGGGTCCGGCGGCGCCATGAGCAGCTTCGGCGGGAGGATGCGCGAGTATCCCCGGCTCTCCATCGACCGCTTCGACCGCGAGAACCTCCGCGCCAGGGCCTATTTCCTGTCCCACTGCCACAAAGGTCCGCTCCTGCTGCTGCTTCGCCGTTTCCCTTTCCTCCTCCTCCTCCCGCCCTCACACCAGCCCTGCGAGGGAGGCCCCGCTGAGAGGCAGCGACTGGCCCAGAGTCACAGCTCTCCCCAGGGCCTCGCCCAGCACTCCAACCGCTACACCTCACAGCCCTTGGCTTGTGCTGCCCCAACATCCTTCCAGCCAGTGTTGGTCAACACCCAAGTAGAGAGCGCTTTGCTTTTGTTTTACTATTTTTCATGCATATTACTATCCACTGCCGGGGCTTAGCCTCGGGAAGAAAAGACTCACAGAGACGAGTGTCTTTGAGCATGCACCGAGTGCCATCCTTTCTTCTCAGAACTGCCCCCTTCATTGTCTTTCAAAAGGTGCTGCCCGCCTGGTTGAAACCAGCTGCTGGGAAAACTTTCCAGGCAAATCTCTGGTCCTGGACATGCTCTGCCTGCTGATCTGCGCCTGCCTCTGCTGACACCCCAGAGTCCTGATACCTGCCAGTGCTGGGGTTACATTCCAGGGATATCGCATAAAGCCAAAATCACATAAAGTCAAAACATTTTTGGTTTAATGACAGGTGGGACTGATAAACTCTACTCCCCCATGCACTCCCCCATTTTAATTTTTGTTTTTTTAATTGCCAAGTGCATAAAGCTGAACCCGCACAAGTTAAATGCTCATAAGTGGAGAGTTCCCTGTAATGGCATTCATTGCACACTTCAGGAGAAGGAGGGATTCTGAATTGGGCTGCAGTTCTTCAGACAGAAAAGGATCCTGTCCCCTGAGCAATTTGTGCTATTTCCTTAGCAACTGTTTTAGAAGATTCTGATTTAACCCTGCTTCTCTGATCATGCTGACGCTTGTGTCTGTCCTTCTGGCCTGTACTGAGGCCCAAGACTGTTCTTAGCATGGCGGAGTTCTAAAATAATCTTCCTCTTTTAATATGTTAATATTTAGATCACATGAAAGGCCTGAGAGCGCCTTCCCTAAAAAGAAGACTGGCATGCAGGTAATGAAAAGGGAGAAAGAAATGTGTGAGAATAGGCTGGGACCTGTGGTGAGTGAAGGGATAAGAAAGCATCAGCACCTTCTCAGGCTGATCTCCTTAAGGATGAGAAGAAACTTGTTTTTATTTTAAACATGGAAGTTTAGCTTCTCATATTCTGCAACTAAATACAGTAATCTGTAATTTATAAAATGACCATAGTAGATTCTCTGATTTACTGCATATACACCCTTTTGCTTTGTTTGTTACCTGTGTTCTTAGCATTCTGTCTGGGTCCTTAGTAAAAACTACAATTTCACTTCCATTTCTCCCATGTGGGTAAGTGTAGCTCAGATTCTAAGGATTTCTCCCTCCCCTTTCCTGCCCAGTTCTTAAGTGTAGTTTAGTTTTAGGATTCATTTATCTATGTGTGTTTTACACTGCACTTTCTGCAGTGCATATTTTTACATGCCCTGAGAATTGTAGCCAACCTTTTCTATTTACCTCCTAAACGTACTCAGCTAATGCAGGGAAGGTGCTGGAATGTGGGATTCAAATCTTGGAAGATGAGTAGTTTGGGTAGAGCAGTGGTCAGCAACCTTTTTCAGCCATGGGCCGGTCCCCCGTCCCTCAGACCATGTGGTGGGCCGGACTATATTTTGGAAAAAAATAATGAACAAATTCCTATGCCCCACAAATAACCCAGAGATGCATTTTAGATAAAAGCACACATTCTACTCATGTAAAAACACCAGGCAGGCCCCACAAATAACACAGAAATGCATTTTAAATAAAAGGGCACATTCTACTCATGTAAAAACAGGTTGATTCCCGGACTGTCCATGGGCCGGATTGAGAAGACAATTGGGCCTTAGGCATAGCTGTCAACGTTTCCCTTTTTTTAAGGGAAATTCCCTTATTCCGAATAGGATTCCTCACAAGAAAAGGGAAAAGTTGACAGCTATGGCCTTAGGTTGCCTACCCCTGGGGTAGAGGCAAAGTTGTCTAGCTAGCAAGTGTGTGATGTCAGATGGGTGTCTTCTGTCTGTAGGCAGGGGAAGAGACTAAAGGGCATATAATACAGCAAATGATGTCTGGGATTTCTTACTTCTCCCTCTTTAAGTCACAGACACCTTTGCCATATCACAAACTTGCTTGTTGAAGGAGTTTGCAAGGAGGCATGGGAACTACTTTTTGTTGTTTGATTTTTTTGGATATTGGACAACCACCATTTGCTTTTTTGTGAGACATGTATTTCTTTTTTCTTCAAAGCTTAAAAGTTCGCTTGTATTGTTCACCAGTAACAAAGGAGTTGCTGCTAACTAATCCACGGTATAAATTTTGGGAGAATCACATTGTAAGTTACCTCTTTTCATGTGTAGTTGATGTAAACAGACACTATTAATACATCTTAAAGCTGTTATAGCTAGCAATGTCAGCAAAAGATGAAGCTGCCATAATCCTAAGGACAGGCATCCCCAAACTCGGCCTTCCAGCTGTTTTGGGACTACAACTCCCATCATCCCTAGCTAACAGGACCAGTTGTCAGGGATGATGGGAATTGTAGTCCCAAAACATCTGGAGGGCCAAGTTTGGGGAGGCCTATCCTAGGTGGTGAAGTCCACTTAAACTGTGTTGTAGTCGTCATCTTTAATTTTAGTATGTCTACTCTGAGTAAAACTCAGTGCCACCCTAAGCTTTACTTTGTTCACCTGTTGTGAACAACAGTACGTTTCCGAGCTCCCAGTACGTTTCCGAGCACAATTCAAAGTGTTGGTGCTGACCTTTAAAGCCCTAAATGGCCTTGGTCCAGTATATCTGAAGGAGCGTCTCCTCCCCCATTGTTCTGCCCGGACACTGAGGTCCAGCTCTGAGGGCCTTCTGGCGGTTCCCTCACTGCGAGAGGCCAAGTTACAGGGAACCAGGCAGAGGGTCTTCTCGGTAGTGGTGCCCGCCCTGTGGAACGCCCTCCCATCAGATGTCAAAGCGATAAACATCTACCTGACATTCAGAAGACATCTGAAGGCAGCCCTGTTCAGGGAAGTTTTTAATATGTGACATTTTAGTGTATCTTTCATCTTTGTTGGAAGCCGCCCAGAGTGGCTGGGGAAACCCAGCCAGATGGGCGGGGTACAAATAATAAATTATTATTATTATTATTATTATTATTATTATTATTATTATTATGATGATGATGTCTTAAAATGAAATACAAAGGTGTATCCTGGGCCTTCCTTCCTTTCTTTAGACTGTTCAGTCTCAGGTTCTCTCTGCCCTGGCAGAGCCACAGAAGGAGATGGTGGCTCAGGTCTCTTAATGCAGAGAGAACTCGATGATGATAATGATAATGATAATAATAATAATAATAATAATAATAATAATAATAATTATTTATTTATATCCCGCCCTCCCCAGCCGAAGCCGGGCATTAGCATTTCATTTCAAGCTCCTGTCTGATATATGGTATGTTCCAGACTTTTGTGGAGCTTCTGTGGGTGCAGAACACAGGATTATTAGGCTGCAAAGAAACTTGGTGAAAAAAGTTGGTTTTTTGAATGAGTCACATTTCTTCCTTTACTGGGTCATGTTTTGCAAGAAGTACCCATTAACAGTTGCTTTTCGTAGATCTGAGGTCCCTCAGGCGCATGTTCTCAGGCATTCTGTGGGGCCCACAACAGTTTCTTAGACTTCCATACAGGTTTCTTAGATTTTGAGATGCCCCCAGGCTCCAGAAAGTTGGGGAGCCTTGTCATAAGTTAATGGCTTACCTTCCACAGACATGTGCTTGTCTCCTGATCCTAGCTATTACCATGCCATTAAAAACATCTGTTTTGTACATGCTGTAAAAACAGTTCTCATCACCTATAATGTGCCTCTGTACATTTGTTTGTCTGTCTGCTGTAGGTTTCCATTGAAGTTGAAACTCCAACGCAGATTTCTCTGGTTGATGAAGCATCTGGTGAGGTAGTCAGTTATGTTGACTGTTTAACATTTTAATATTTCACCTAAGTAGGTAGGAGTGCTAGTTACTCTTTGCTCTGAAATTCCAATTTTGGCCAACAAAATAGAAGCCTGCTATCTATTTTACTTTCTTCCCCTGCCTTGTTTGTCCTAATTTCCTCTCTCTTTTATACTGTGCTTTGAAGTCTTCAGGTTTCTCCTCTTTTCTGCATCTTTATAATAAAAGTATATGCTAATAGCATATGGCACAAGAACCCATGCAACTTCTAGCCCATGCACCTTATTGGCAGGTGTTTTTCAGGCACCACTGATCAGCTGGTGGTCTGTGCCTGCACAGCTCCTTGCGTAGCACTTCCCAGCCGCCACTT